GGATTCACCAATGATTTACTCACAACATATCCACACATCTGAATTCACCAATGATTTACTCACAACATATCCACACATCTGAATTCACCAATGATTTACTCACAACCTAACCACACATCTGAATTCACCAATGATTTACTCACAACATATCCACACATCTGGATTCACCAATGATTTACTCACAACCTAACCACACATCTGGATTCACCGATGATTTACTCACAACATATCCACACATCTGGTTTCACCAATGATTTACTTACAACGTATCCACACATCTGGTTTCACCAATGATTTACTTACAACGTATCCACACATGATACATCCAGAACTGGTAACATATGTAAAGTAAATGATCCAATACGCTGTTACGTCAGCATACGAGAAAGTTGATATAAGTAACGACATATCGATTTTCATAAGCCCAACGGTGTGTAGTGTTAAACGATTTCAAAGCCTTATGTTTGAGGTACAAATGACCCTAAATTTGCCCCACCCTTCCATCTGTTGGGGCTTTAAAACCATTCACCATGATTCAGTCAATCTCACTCTTTTTAATTAAAAGTTGTCAAACATAATCTCTAAACTGAACGTTTTAGTTAACTCAAGTATCGTGTATGATGGTGTTCAGGTTACAAATATCAAATAACGTTTTTTGTAAGTCAATATAGACGTAAGTTCCTAGGCCTTATTACATATATATATATTATATTGTTTAGCATATGACAGTATAAACCGAATCTTGATTAGAGATTTATCGCTCTTGCTAGGATCATGAAAAGAAGGAACTTTGAACTAGTTATATTTTGTATCTATAGTTACTTAATTTCCAGCAAGAACGTTTACTTACTCTTGGAAAATTTTATAGGGAAAAAGGACACTTTTGCCACTTAAAAAGGGAGAGAAAAAAGAACTTTTAGATGCCTTAGACATGCGGATGTCAGTCGATGAAAGAAGTAAAATAGTACGTAGACATGTTCGTTAAAATATAATCTAATATCATTAAAACACCAGTTAAAACCACGAGGCCTACAACTGCCCAATGTTTGAAAAACACCCTTCATTTCATGGGCCCACAGCGACGCCACCTATATTGAATATCTCACTTAATGGGAAATTAATATTTGTAAATACAATTGTTGCATATATTTAGATAAATTACCGCATATTTCTAAAGTGGCAGTCTATTATCTTGAAGATTAACTAATAGATGATCTATGTGAAACCTAAAAACTAACAGAGTTAAACGTTATTCTTAATCTGAAACCGTAGTGCTAATACTTTGAAATTGATCATTTTAACCAATATTTCACAAAACTTGTTTTATTTTTTTCTTTAACTCAAGAACAAATGACAATACCCCTGTTGACCAGGAATTGAACTAAAGATTGTTTTTGTGATCTTTTGATGGTGTGATTGGTTGTCTTGCGAAATACGCTTGAAATAAGAATGTTTATTGAAGTGTGGGTAGCTAAAACATTATTAAAATGAAATAAAGTGTTATTAATTTTACATTCTATAGTAAACTTAACGAATTTTAATTTGTGCTCGTTAGGGCGACGTTAAAAGTCTAAGTCATCATTTTTATAGTTAAGTAAATAACACCATTTTTATAAATTCGTAATTTTACGAAACTCGTGAAACAACTTAATACTACAATATTTATTTGTTAAATAACTAAATTAGCCACGGTAACTAACCCACATGACGTTGATTACAAATAAGACCATTAAAAGCATGATAATTATGGCACATGAAAAGACATGTGTTAAATAAGATTTTGGTCATTGCTCAGTTAGTTTCTACAATATTCTAGATGGCGTGGCTGTGGTATATATATATATATATATATATTATAAATTTCTAATCTATTGATCTAGTGTCTTATAGTCCTTAATGTTTTGTTTGTTTCTTTGTTGTTAAGTCTAAAGATGGATAACAAGCTATCTGTGTTGAGCTCAATATGGGTATTGAAACCAGATTTTTAGCGTTATAAGCCCACAGGTTTATTGCTGAACCTCTGTTTGAAATAATATTTTTGTTTGTTTGGATTTAAGCACAAAGCTACACAATGGGCTATCTGTGCTCTGCTCACCACGGGTATCGAAACCCGGTTTCTAGGGTTGTAAGTCCGCAGACGTACCGCTGTGCCACTGGGGTGGGGGGGGTCATTGAAATAATATTAAACCTAAGATTGTTTGTTTGTTTGTTTGAAAGTAAGCACAAAGCTACACAATGGGCTATCTGTGCTTTGCCCACCTCGTAATCTGAGGGTCGCGAGTTCGAATCCCCGTTCCACCCTTTCAGCCGTGGGGGCGTTATAAGTAACGGTCAATCCCACTATTTGTTGGTAAAAAGATTAGCCCAAGAGTTGGCGATGGGTGGCGATGACTAGCTGTCTTCACTCTAGTCTTACACTGCTAAATTAGGGACGGCTAGCGCAGATAGCCCTCGTGAAGCTTTGCGCGAAATCCAAAAAACAAACTTGAGAAACGAAAACCATTTGATTTTGTCATATGTTTTACGATTAAACAATTTTTATCTTTACAAAAACTCATGAAGTGAGCGGAATGTAAAGACAAACTAGAGAATTTTAGTTTCACGAGAAATAATTATTGTAACGATTAAAGAAATATATACGAACTGTTTTTATCTGAAATTATGAAAAGCTGATACCAATCAATTTATTTCTACAGATAAAAGGGACGGTTCGAATAATTTTTCAGATTTTGGTGTTTTCCGTTATTTTGTTTATTGACAAGCTGCTCTTAGACGTCTTATTGATATTGAAGCGTCATAGCCGGATTGATTATCATCAACTAGGTAAGGACCTCCATTGGTTTCTCTTAATCTAACTTTCTTTACTTCGTCATGACCATATGAACTATCATTAGGGTTGGTAGTGCCAGAAAGTACAGAAAAAATGTATGGATGTTAACACAAAAATCCCTACATAAGTAGCCAGTAAGTACTAAGTCAATCTTACAAGCTTATGGTTATTAGTCACTTTAAGGCTGTATAGTACTGTTCAGTTAAAATTCTTTTATTCAAAGTTGAATACATGCAACTGACTGGAATTTAACGTTTAGTTGTAGATAAGAAATGTTTTGAAAGATTTGGCTACTTGTGTAGATATTTTCGTACGGTCTTGTGTATATAATCCTACCTTGTTTCTGGATTTTTGGACATTGCCATCCCTCAATCATATTTGATTTTTTATTATTTTTCCTATCTTTTTTTTTTCTTTTAACAACTTTACTGAAGTAGGTTTATAAATGAACTCAACTTAAAGTTATTTGTAAGCATCACAGAGTTATAGATTGAATGCGGCAGCCATTTTTTTTCTCGACCCATACTAAGCGCTACCATGCTTAGTGATAGCCAGAATGTATCATCGGAAAGATAAGAATCAATATGGGCCACTTGCTATTTAACACTTAACTCCTAATGCTGTGTCAGCCAGAACAATTATCATTAGAAAGGTAAAAGCCTGGACGAATTATTTTCTACCGGAAATCTACAGGTAGTGGCCAAAAAAAGAAATGGAAACACCAATGTAAAGTCATTTAATAGGACGTTGGGCCATCACGTATCGCCAGTATGCATCGTGGCATAGAGTCTTCCAGCATCTGGAATTCTGCAGGAAGAATGCGACACCACTTTTCCACTAGAATGTTAATCAACTCAAGCCTAGTTGATGGAAGTGGAAAATACTGTTTTAGGCGTCGTTCTAGAATATCCCATACATGCTCGATTATGTTGAGATCTGGTGACTGAGAAGGCCATGGCATATGGATAATGTCGATGTCATGCTCCTCAAACCACTGGGCGACTACTCATGACCTGTGGACGGGTGCACTGTCATCTTGAAAGACACCCCTCTCTGCAGAACAGAAATGTTGTAACGTGGGATGAAGACGATCACTCAGTACCATTACGTAAAGATTGGCCTTATAAAGGTATGAGTACACCCAAATCTTGCCAGGAAAATGCTCCCCACACCATTACGGAACCAACAGAATCATTCACTGTTCGAACCAAGCACTCTGAGCTGTAGAGTTCTTTAGGTTGGCACCACACGTGCACTCGTCCATTTGTCAAAAACATGGTGAAGGATGATTCATCTGCTCGTATCCCATTTTTCCACTGCTCGGTAGTCCATAGTCTGTGTTCTTTGCATCACTGGATGCGCAACCGTGCATTGCCAGGTGTGATTAGGGGTTTGTGCACTGCAACCCTACTATGGTGTCTCGTTCTGTGGAGTTCTCGATGGACCATTTTTGATGAAACTGGCTGCTTTCGCCCCAGGTTGAAATTTGTGGTCAATTGATCTGCAGCTGCTCATCTGTTTGCCTTGCAGTTCGAATTAATGCACGGATATCACGATCCTGGAGTATGCGTTACCGCCCACTATTGCCCTTTGCTGATGATGATGTCTTTCCCTCGGAGTTCCATGCTGACATCAACTTAGATACCACTGCTCGTGAAACATCAGAAAGTTGAGCTGTCTTAGTCACTGAAGCTACCGCCAAACGTGCCCCCAACAGTCACCCCTCTTTCAAAGTCACTGAGATCTTCTCTTGCAGCCATGCTAGCCGTGATTATAGGCAACCAGGCCTGTCCAGCATTTTTATACACGACTCTTTGCATGCTGGGATGTTACTTGCTTAACTAATGCACGAGCTACACCTGTGTGTTAGCCTCTGCATTGTGTATACTTGTCCCTCATTTACACAGGTGTTTCCATTTTTTATCCACTACCTGTAACCGTTACTGATATTTCACAGTCAGCACGATTATTATGAGAAAATTAAGATCTGTACAGTCAATTGCATTCCATAATGTAATTACTATTGTAAAATCAAAGCAGGGCTAATGGTCGAAAAATAATCTATGTTGTATTATATTTTCAACTCAGTACTAACTCTACACATTTTATCCCCGAATCATATGTTGCAGACATACGTACATAAACTACGAGAGTGACGTGTCAGGAGATTTTGTCCGTGTAAATGCACGTTATGTGCTATTATCTTACATGAAGACAATATTTATTAATGTTCTGTTATTTATACTTTAGCTACTTGCAGAATGTATGCTAATAATTTGCCTATTTCTAATTTATTTTGTTTAGCATATATAGTAAGAATACATACTAACTATTTCTACATTCTTTTGCTAGTGCGGGAATTTTCAAAACTTTTCGTTTAGGTTGATTCTATGAAGTTTTTTCATAAACATCTGATCCAGAAAATCGTTATTTTCGATCTAGCTCCCTTTGCTCCTTTGTTGTTCTCTAGCAGATAATCCCTAATCTACCCGGGGAAATATTGCTGTACTTTCGCGCATAAAACAGGTGAACGACAGGAATGTCCTTCACTAGCAGAGCATAAACGTAAAAGAAGAATATATAACTATACTAATTTCCAGGTTGATTTTTTCAGCTGTTATTGGAAATTAGTTAATTTCTGAAGATTACGGCCTTAACCATGCTGTATGAGAACAACCACACCCGTGAATAGCACTAGTCGTTATGGATAAACCTGACACTTCCTGTTAGTACAGAATGCTCGACTGACATCAGTTCTGCGTGATTTCTAACTTGAATAGGTCAACGAAAAAAACATTTTATAGCAAGAAAGCTGTTGATTTTTAGGATTTTTGTATCTATTTGTAACTGTTTTTGTTGTTAGGGACTCATGACGTCAGAGTAATCATCTATGGCAATGGAGCCGTAGCAAACTTAGTAAGGGCAGTCTTAAAAGGATTTAACCAGACGCACACACTGGATCAAATCTCAACAAGTGCTGGTAAGAAAGCTTGGAGAATGGTTAGTGGTGAATAAACGATTAGCTTGTTCATTTGAACTAGAATAGTTAATGAAGAACTTTGTATAATATATAATTTATTTATCCGTGTATGTTGTAAATAATTATTCATGATAAAAGTTCGATCCAAAGAAAAGCAGGAAAACAACGATTGACATTTAAGCTTGTATTAATAATACAAATTTTCGACCCACAAACCAGTACTTTATGTTACACACACGATATCAATCATATGAACAAAATATACCTTCATATTCAAAATTGAAAACGATTTAGAAGGGTTTATGTAAGTTAGTTTTTTTTTTGTTCAGTAAACATACAAGGATTGGTAAAACCAGTGGCAATCGTTGTTCAAGTAGTTTCTCATTTAGATACATATAGAAATTTTTGTGACACCAATTTCAGGTTAATAGTGTAAACACAAACAAAATGGCTGGTGTTTACTTTCGTTCAGTTTTATGTTTTTGTTTTTTTGGGTTTGAAAAGCTATCTGTGCTCTGTCCACCGCGAGCATCGAACCCTAATTTTAAGCATTATATTTCGACTTTTTTGCCTTATTATTATTTCTAAAACAAATGTTTATCTACTTTAGAAAAAAGTAAAAGAACAACACTCATAAGTTACCATAATATCAAATCTACAGAAACGGACGTTCGAACTAGTATTTAAAAGAAATACTACGTCCCAATTCGTCATAACGTATCAAATATTCAAGTTGGAATTTATCTTTGTTTGTATATATATATATGTATTTAAAATAATTAGGGCATGTAACAAGAATAGAACATTATAAAACTCCTTAAATAGTCCATATTCACTGTACTATATCGTATTACATCATTATGGTCACGGAAGATTCTTGACCCATTATTTCAAACCTCAACTTGTATTATTGTGAATATAAAACAATTCCAGGAGAATTTTATTTAAAAAGTACTTCCACATATTATAACAAACAAAATTTATATATCTAACTTTAACCTCATAAGTTAAATATTACATTCAAAATATAAAAAAAAATTCTTTTACCTCCAAGAAACGCTGTAACATATAGATTAACTCCAAGAAACGCTGTAACATATACTTTAACACTAAGAAACGCTGTAACATATAGATTAACTCCAAGAAACGCTGTAACATATACTTTAACACTAAGAAACTGTAACATATACTTGAACACTAAGAAACGTTGTAACATATACTTTAACTCCAAGAAATGCTGTAACATATACTTTAACTCCAAGAAACGCTGTAACATATAGATTAACTCCAAGAAACGCTGTAACATATACTTTAACTCCAAGAAACGCTGTAACATATACTTTAACTCTAAGAAACGCTGTAACATATACTTTAACTCTAAGAAACGC